TGTTGTAGTACATCTTGTTTAATGTGGTGCTGCAAGTATAATGTAGAATCAAATGTTGTAGTACATCTTGTTTAATGTGGTGCTGCAAGTAAATTAAGTCGCTAATGTATGTGAGAACGACAATGATACGAACTACTTTATAAACCACACTTAGTGAGAAGATATTGACTGCACAATAAAGTAACGTCTGCATTAGTGAGTTTTATGAAGTTTGAAATTATATTTTTCAAATGAGTTGAAAATTAAGACTAACGGACTTGTAATAACCCGAAGGCTATATTTAAAGTACATTTAACACAAAAGACTTTCAACTGATCTATACGGTGCATAGAATACACAAGGTAAGCGTGAGATAAAAATACAACTACAGAATTTTACTGAAGTTGTACAGAATTATAAACTAACCGAGACGTTGTACATTTGCTGTTATGTTAAACTTATATTAAAGTTTTTCTTCATTACCCATTCAAGCCGTCTCCAACCATTATTAACTTAAACTTACCTCGCTCTGGTTTTTACCGAAGTTGTACACAGTTATAAGCTAACCTAAACTTACCTCGCTCCTGTTTTTACCGAAGTTGTACACAGTTATAAGCTAATGTAAACTTACCTCGCTCTGGTTTTTACCGAAGTTGTACACAGTTATAAGCTAACCTAAACTTACCTAGCTCTGGTTTTTACCGAAGCTGTACACAGTTATAAGCTAACTTAAACTTACCTCGCTCCTGTTTTTACCGAAGTTGTACACAGTTATAAGGTAATGTAAACTTACCTTGCTCCTGTGTTCCACAGAGAACTCTAAAGTAATTCCCGCTACTGCTCCTCAGAGCGTCGTTAGCTTCTGGACTTTCTTTGTACCCGACCGGGTCTTCGTCGTACAGCAGGCAAGTGTGAGAAGTGTCGTCGAAGACGAAGGATCTACAGAGGAAACCACGATCTTCAAGACTGTTGGTACACAGTGTTGAACACTTGCTATAATCGCTAACGCTGACTAAATCCCGGTCATAAGCGCCATCTAGTTCCTTCCCAGCATCCATGATAAAAGCTTTGTTGGAACAAATCTTGGAGTCTTGTTTGTTTGTAAAAAAAATTAAAACAACATAAGATATTACTATAAACATGCCTACACTATACAGATATTGTATCAATCACAATAACATACGATAAGGTAATAAGATATCACATTAAACATACCTACAATACACAAGTATTGTATTAATAGAAACAACATACTGTAAGGTAATAAGATATTACTATCAACTTACCTACACTACACAAGTATTGTAATAATTGAAACAACATACTGTAAGGTAATAAGATATCACATTAAACATACCTACACTACACAAGTATTGTATTAATAGAAACAACATGCTATAAGGTAATAAGATATTACTATCAACTTACCTACACTACACGAGTATTGTATTAATTGAAACAACATACTGTAAGGTAACAAGATATCACATTAAACATACCTACACTACACAAGTATTGTAATAATTGAAACAACATACTGTAAGGTAATAAGATATTACTATCAACTTACCTACACTACACGAGTATTGTATTAATTTCACACATTCGCTTGAAGTAGTAAAGGTAAAAAACAATCAACACAGTTTCACCTTAACGATGTAGACATACACCTGTTGGTGATGTTTTAATATACGTGCATCTTTACATATATATATATATATACACTAGCGCCTGGTGGCCAAAATATAAAGTTATTTTGTTTTCATTGTGCACTCGTGGAAGTAAATTGTTGTGCTTACAAACATACATTATTTTTATGATTAATTCAATTTTAAGTTCCTGTCGGTATAATTAATGCTGGGACAAATGCTTTGTTTTTATTCCATATCTTTCTTTCGGAAGTCTTGTTGATAAATACGTACGTAAAATGTTTAATAAATAGTTAAAGTGGTTCTTGATGGAACTAATAAGGTATACGTGGTAAGACACCACCAGAAACAGTCTAAAAAAAATAAACCAATGATCTCTCTCCTCCTGATAGGAATTTAGGTGTTTGTGACCTAGGAGGGTCAGGTGCGCTGGGACCTCGTTTGGTTTGGTTTGTTTTGAATTTCGCGCAAAGCTACACGGGGGCTATCTGCGCTCAGCCGTCCCTAAGTTAGCAGTGAAAGACTAGTGGGAAGGCAGCTAGTCATTACCACCCACCGCTAACTCTTGGGCTACTCTTTTACCAATGAATAGTGCAATTCACCGTTACAGTATAACGCCCCCACGGCTGAAAGGGCGAGCAGGTTTGGTGGGAAGGGGATTCGAACCCGCGACCCCCAGTTTGCGAGTCAAGCGCCCTAACCACCTGACCATTCATTTATGCTGAAACTGCTCACTATAGGGCGCTGTTTATATACAATCAATATTTAGGTACATTTTAAACTTTCATTAAGAATAGAACAATGCAACAGCATAAAAATTGCGTACCATACTTTATTCTTAAAAGCTTCGAATAAACCGATAATGTGAAATGTAGATTACGTGTTTATCATTTGTGGTTTATCCTCCGGTTAGAAAGTGAAATATAGGTTATAGGTTTACTCTCTGGCGA